GGTGCCGCCCCGCTCGGCGGCGCAGGCCCGCGACTTCCCGCGGGAAGGGGGCCCGTCGCCGATCCACGCCCTCGCCCTCCCCGTGCTCTGGGCAGCCTTCTCGCGCTGGCCCGCTGCCCCCGAGGCCAGCTCGCTGGCAGCTTTAGGTCGGGCGTGTACCCCTTTCAGGGGGATTTTGAGCGACAGATCTTAACATACCAGAACATTCACAATAAATACTCAAACATGCTAAACAAAAATCGTCCCCATATCTTTTTGACGAGTTCTAAATATTCCCCCTGTAGAGGGACAGGCCCGACTTAACCGGGCAGCCTTCTCACGCTCGCCCGCTGCCCCCGAGGCCAGCTCGCCGGCAGCCTCCTCGGCGCCCTCCTCCGCGGCCTGCCTGCGCTGCTTCTTGGCGCGCGGCCTGCGCCCGTGCTGCTCGAGTGGCGCGTCGGCGGCCGCAGCGGCAGCGGGCTCCTCCGCGGCCGCCGTCGCCGGCTTCCGCTTGCGCTCTTCGTGCGAGGGGTCGACGGGGCTGTCCGCCTCGGCCTTTCCCGGCGGCGTCCCCTTCTCTCGCTTCGGCATGGATGCGATGCCCGTCCGCCCCGCGCTGGGGGCCAACAATGACGAGTGTCAAGCCAGAACGGCTACGTGCACACGCACGTGGACAATGAATGGCGACAAAGGGTGCGAAGATGTTCACCGCAACGGAATTCAAGATGGCGGTATCGACTTCATGGTGATGTTCAATATGCGGAAGGAAGGCAGAGGAGGAGGAGGAGGAAGAGGAGGAAGGCAGAGGAGGAGGAGGAGGAGGAGGAGGAGGAGGAGAAGTAATAACAATAACAGTAAGAAGGCCAATAATGATATCAATAATAATATGTTAATAATAACCCTGGGACTTCGAACTCCGAATGCGGATTTGGCCCACCAGTACGACACGTACCCCACGACACCGAGGAACAACATCATAACACAACGCCACGGCACGACACGGCAAAGTAACACGGCACGACTCCCAGCACGGCACCACTGCACGGCACTCGCGGTCACGAGATCTCCACCCGACTGCACAACACGGCACTGCGACGTGGAACCACGACGCGGCATGACGGCACAGCACCGCGCCAGGACACGGCACGCCACGCGCAAACGCCCAACCACAACTTGCACGGCCACGCGACACGGCGCGGCACCTTCCGGCACAACCCAACGCTCGAGATCACGAGTTGGCCACATGTGACACTGCGGCGTGACACGACGGCATGGCACGTCGCGGCACCACGGCACCAGGTCGAGTCCCAAGTTGACGCTATCCGACACCCCTTCACTTACCAGCGCGCCGCGCGTCTTCTCACATCTTTCTCCACCCTATTCCTCCTCCTCCTCCTCCTCCTCCTCCTCATCCTCCTCCCCTTCCTGCCATTCCCGTTTCGGCACACACACACACACACACACACACCTCACGCGGATCGTGACCACCAGCCGGGAGCTCCACTTGCGGCCCCAGCGATAGCGTCCGAATGGCGTCGACCCGCGCAATTCGGCACGCTCCTTAACGCGAATCGTTCCCCATTGGGAGCTCCACCTAGGGCCCCAACGAGGGCGTGTTTGAATTGCGTCGCCCCACCTACGGCTGGTCTGTGGCGTTCGTTTCTGACTCCGCGTGGATGGTTCAACTTTGAACGATCGTGGCTTCCCGACAGCGCCAATCGCTCCATGTCGGCTGGTTCAGGGCCACTGGCATCGTTCAACCTTGAACGCTCGAACTGGGGTCGCCGCCGCGTCAATACAAAGCGGACCCACCCTACTAGGCAACCAGACATAAATTCTACCCCTGCAGCTCGGATTTCCGCAAAAACTGGCTGGGGTCAGAATGTGAAAGGATGCTAACGTGCTGCTCCGTGGCACCAGTGCGCGGCTGCTGAACATTGCCAGCTCCCCCGCTGAGACTGCGAAGAGTGCCTGCAGCCTCGTGAACCCCAGCGGGTGCAGCCGACACCCCAGCGCCCACTGGACCCGCAGGGGCAGGTTCGTGGCGAATGCTCGCAGACCTGTGCTGATGGGCCTGTTTTCCACCACCGCCACCAAAGGTGTTGAGCAGGGACCGACCGTCCCGGCATTCCTATAGTCATATCACGAAATTTTCTTAGAGCCCAAAATGTTCAAATAACAAAAACAATGTTCTTAGAACATAAACCCGATGTGATAAAACAAGACAGACTCCGCCAGAAATGTTCTAAGAACACGCCGTGGAAACCACAAAAAAGGTTATTGTAACATTGTTGGGTCGGGCTGTAGGCGAGCCAAGACGCTTCGCCGCTGCTCGAAGGTGGTGGAAAACGGGCCCACCATGTGCCAGCACACCCCCGACCTGGGTCGCGTCCAGCAAGGATCTCCGCCCACGGCCCCAGCGGGGCCGCTCCGTCGCCCCCCCCCCCCCCCGTCTCGGCGCGCCCCTCGCGCGGATCGTGCCCGCGGGGGCCTCCCGACGGCCCACCGGGGCCCCAGCGAGGGCCCAGGAGAGCGCCGAGACGGCCCAAGGTGGCCCAGGGGACCCCCAAGACTGCCCTGCGGCAGCCCAAGATAGGACAGGGGAAAGGAAGGGAGGGCGAGGGCAGAAGAGGGTCCCGGCACGACGGGGCACGAGGTGTCACACGTTACGGCCTCCTGTGTGCCCCCCGAAAGGCGCGCCCGCGCCAGATGCCTGCATTGCATTGTCTCCAGCCACGGACAACAGAAGTCTCTGTGACAGTGGAAGGAAGTGAACCCTGATTTAACTAGAGGGCGAACTATTCGGCATGTGCGTTTGCTTCATCGTAGCCGAGGATCCAGCTTCATGGGCTAGGTGTCGAACTCTTGCAAGGCCACTCGCCCCCTGACCAATTTCCAAGACGCCGTGCATGACATGTTCTGTCAGTGGCTGGTTAACCCTGTAACCCAGCTGCACGTGTCATTGCGGAGAGAACGCGCGGGAGAGTGCAATCACTAAAAGCCAGTGAGAAACTTATAGCAAGCGTGTTATGTATGCTCTTACCCGTTTCTCCTTCGCTGCTCTCCTCTGCGTATGTTCACCTATTGTGTGACGCCCTATTTGGCTTAAGCTAGCGCTGCAACGTTGGAGAGGCACTCTTGAATCGAGCCCCGAGCTGCGTCCATCAGACAGCCCTGGCGAGAATACATCCACAAGGCCATCGTAGTGTGCATCTCATTCCAGCGCCCTAGACAGACGACAAACACTTGTTTTGCACAGCTAGCAACGCCAACTGACTTCTTACTGCCGGAGGTTACGGCCCACGACAGACTTTTGCAGCTGAACAGGGAAAACCGAGCTGAACTCCTTCGGATTCCGCTCGCATGCAATGCAGAATGCACGATGCAAACTGTCAAGGAGTACATGGCCACCTGAACGACCAGGGCATAGACAGCAGGACCCCTGTCGTAGACTTGGGCTCCCCAAGCAAGGCTTACATGGTCAATCGTCTTCGCGGGTAACTGCGAGACGCATAAACCAATCATAAAGGAAGATAGGTGAAGTCTGCGCCAAACAACTCTGCGAGACATACATACCGATCCATGAAGGGCACGCAACAATTTGTAATCAAGCGGGGACGTGTGAAACGCTCAGAAAATACATGGATGTGCGGTGGGGGTATCCCAGCGTGTGCAGAGACAGATTTATGAAACACACTGAGCGCAATATGCATAGCACCAAAAAGCTTCAAAGGCAGCCAGAGCATTGAACCATATTCTGAGGTACCTGCTCTCAGATCACCGATTTGCGGGCAGGCAGTGGGTAGCAACAGGTGTCAGCAGGCAATTCTCCAGGCCCGCCGCCCTGCTGCTCCTCCTCCTCCTCCTCCTCGTGCTTCGTGCTCTGGGTGTTTACCCTGCTGCTGGTCCTCCTGATGCTGCCGCAGACCGTGCTCTGAGTGTCTGCCACGCCGCGGCACCTGTCCACGTCCAGGGCCGCCCGGAAATACGAATGCACCAGCGCACCTTGTGCGCTGCACCGCTGGGCCGGGTCGCGCTGCAGCAGCCAGCGGCAGAAGTCTACGCCGTCGGCGCCCCGCTGGTGGGGCGCTCCGCACAAGTACTTCGGCAGGGGCACGCCGGCCCGGACGATTGCTTTCGCCGCCGTCGCAGTGAACTCGGCAGGAACGTAGGGAAGCTCTCCGAAGAGCATGAAGTACGCCATGCTGCCATAGGACCAGACGTCCGTGCCAGTGCCGTACCTGTGTGCGTTCAGCATCTCCGGTGACATGAACGGTGGGGTGCCGAACTCTCCCACCAAGCTGTGGTCCGAAAGCAGGCTGGCAGACAAGTTGAAGTCACAGAGCTTCACCGTGCACCCATCCACACCGATCAGATAATTGGACGGCTTTATGTCGCGGTGGACAACAGAGGCTGCGTGGCAAGCCTCGATGGAGACCAGCATCTGGTACAGAAGGCTAGGAAGCCCGCAATCCAAGACATCTGGATTGGACTCGAGCCTCTCTGAGACTGTGCACTCGCACATTTCCATGACCATGCAGAAGCAGTGGTCGTCACAGAACACACGGCGCAATTCCACTATATTTGGATGACTGCCGATGCTGCGCCACACCTCAACCTCATTCTCGGCAGCCTTCAAGTTCCGCTTCTTCTCCCGAGCTTTCTTGCTCGAATCACGTGTTGAAATGCGTGTGCCCACGATTTTGACAGCCTCCAAAACGCCTGTGCTTCGCTCACGCGCCGCGACGACTGTCGCAAACGAGCCAGTACCGAGCGTATTGCACAGCACATCCAGCACAATGCCACCTGGCACGTTCAGGCGTGGTGTAATGCCTGTCTGGTCACCTTCCCCAATTAGTGCTTGCACTGAAGGGGTCCTAGCGGATATTGGAAGATTTGGCGACAGTTTCCGGCCTATTTCGGTAGGCGGCCAGGTTCTCAGGTTCCTGGGTCCAGGTTCCCCGGTTCCCAATTCCTGTTTCCGGGCCGAATTCTGTGGGCCGTGGGGTTCCCAGGTTTCCAGGTTCCTGGGTTCCTCGTCGATCTCCTTCTGGATCGGTCTCACCATCGATCTCATTTCCCACCTCTCTATAGATCTCACTATCGATTTCGCGGTCGATCTCTTATCGATCACACGCTTGATCTCACTATAGATCGCACGAGCGATCTCACGATCGATCCCACTATCGATCTCACTGAATCAATTTCACCTCCGGTCGCACGATTGACTTTACTACTATCGTCCTCATTATCGATCCCACTATCGACATCACTATCGATCACCAAATCAATCTGAATATCCATATTACAAATTGTCAAACCATCCACTGAATGGGTTTTTTCTCGGGTGTCATCACCGTTGTTGCAAGGCCCCCCCCCGCCCTCTCCACCGCGCCCCCTTGAGTGCACCACCGCCCCGTCTCAAGGCTCCATAGGCGGTCCAATGTATCCGTGGCGGTCCCAAGGGCATCCAAAATGCTTAAGATGGCTTTCAAAAGGGCCAAAGAAGGCATCCTGCATGCCCTTGAGGCCTCCAAGACTCAAGGGGCTCCAAAAGGCGCCAAGAGACGGCCCAATCGGCTCCAAAGATGGCTAGCCCAGGTTCCCAGGCTTCTCGTCTCAAGGTGGCCACGGCTGGAGTGCTCCAGGGGGGGGGCTTAGATTGTCTCTAGCGTAGCTCAA